CAGTGCACAGGCCCTGAATTCAACCCCAGTACTGGCACAAAAAGAAGGAAATGGGGACAGCCAAGTGCCAGTGACTCACACCTGTAATCGTAGCTACTCAGAAGGCTGAGATCTGGAGAATAGAAGAAAGCCAAGGCAGAAAAGTCAATGAGACTCCATCTCCATTAACCAGCAAAAAGCTAGGCTGGAAGTGTGGCCCAAGTAGTAGAGCACTAGCTGCGAGTGAGCAAGTTGAGCAAGAGCATTAAGTGCATGAAGCCCTAAATTCAAGCCCTGGAACTTAAAAAGAAAGAGGAGAAAGAAGAAGAGGGGGAGGAAGAGATAATGATGATCATCCTTCCCCCAGGAAAGCAGAAGAAATCAGTGACATAAGGAAACATAGCCTAAGGACAATGGTGTCGGAATACAGCTTAAACAAGCAGCCAGGTGGCCAGGACTGGGTCAGGATGTGGATCAGCAGATATGAGATACATGTGAGTAACAGCAGATATAGGCAAAAATGGCTACAACTTAACAGACCATTGCAATTGAAAAAATAGTTTCAGTGTTAAAAATATTCCACCTAGGCTGGGTGTCAGTGGCTGACAGCTGTAATCCTAGTTACTCAGGAGGCTGAGATCTGAGGATCATGGTTCAAAGCCAGCCTGGGCAGGAAAGTCTGTGAGACTCTTATCTCCAATAAACCATCAGAAAACAAGAAGTGGTGCTGTGGCTCAAGTGGTAGAGCGCTAGCCTTGAGCTGAAGACCTGAGGGACAGCGCCCAGGCCCAGAGTTCATGCCGCACGACCAACAACAACAACATATAAAACTCAAGCAAACAATTGCTATTAAATCTGTTCATGTGGCAATCTCAGCTGACCTTTAAATAATACCCAAGCTGTTTAAGTACCGTCAGATGAAGAAGTGCATGGTAGATTCATACAGAAAACACTCTGCACATCTAAACAAATACCCTCTTCTGACACAGAAATCAGGGCAATTTATGACTTGCCCAGCACAGCATAGTTATAACTACAAATAACAATAAATTCTAGTTAAAATTCAAAACCTATCATTCTAATCTGCCCTCTGATATGACAATGCAAAAAGTATTATCATTTAAAGAAATAGAAAAGGCTCAATTCTATATCTTATAGGAATGGCATATGATTCATAGAATAGTTACTAAATTCACTATGTTCTACATTTCATATCTCATTTAATCAAGGTAACTATTGTAAGAGGTGGGGTAAAGTATTGCCCCATTACAGTTAAGGAATGAAGACCTATAATTGAATGTAGCCAATGTCTGAACTCTGGTGGTCTGAACTCATGGACTCCATGCTCAGTCATTCATTCAACAGATACATGAATGATTGCTAAAACTGAAGATATTGAGATATAGATACTACATGCCCCTGATTGCATGTTTACAATCATATAAATATGAACTATCAAGGTTAACTCTGTAAGACACATTTAGGAGAAAATACAAACTAGGATGCACTGGTCTTTCTTTTTTCCATGTTACTTTTATTTTTTGTATATGTGTCAGTCCTAGGCCCTGAGTGCTGTCCTTGGGCTTTTTTGCTCAAGGTAATGCTCAACCACTTGAACTTCACCTCCACTTTTGTCTTTTTTGTGGTTAACTGGTGATCAGAATCTCACAGACTTTCCTTCCTGGGATAGCTTTGAACCTGAGTAGCTAGAATTACAGGTGTGAACCACTACTGCCAGGATCACCAGTCTTTCTGATACCATACATATTTTCTAAATTCAGTGCATGTTTCCCAAGCCCAAACTAGTCCTGATAAGTAATCTGTATAATGACTAATTTACATGGAAAAATATTACCAAGACCTTAAAGCTCAGTGAAATTAAGTATACATCCATTAAACAATCTCTTTCTTTGTAGTAGTAGGGTTTAAACTTAGGACCTTGGGTTTTCTATGTAGGCACTGTTCCATTGAGCCTCACCTACAGCTCATTTTGACACTGGTTATTTTTGAGATAGGATCTCTTTTCCTGCTCTGATGTATGTCTAGACTATAATCTACCTACTTACACTTCCAGCAAAGCAGAGATGAGCAGCTCATGCCAATACATCCAGCATTTGGTTAAGGAGTTTCACAAACTTTTTCACGTGTATCTTCCCTATTTCAACCTCCCAAGTAGCTAGGATTACAGGAGTGAGCCACCAGTGCTACTACCTTCATTTTCAAAGAACAAAACACATAAGTTCTGCTCAGGAAAATACACTAGTCTTAATCATTTGTAACGCAAACTTTCAAATTTTATTCTTAACTTATTCTTATATTAGTTGATGCTGCTATCAGTAACTCATAGATAAGAAATGTTTTTGGTTTTTGCTTCCTAGTATAATAAAGATACATATAAGGTAGCATTTTCATCAGCTAAAACTTGCTTTTTCTGTTTCAGTGAGATGGCTACATAACTTCTTGAACAAAATGACCGGGCACTATACTAATAAAAGCATCTTTGGAGGGAGTGTTTAATAAACATATTAAATAAAAACTAACTCTCGAGTAAGAAATTGAAAATGCATTGCCTTTAACTTAGAATGCTGTGTCAATAGTTATCTGTCAAATTTGCATGTGCTAACATTTCCTTACTGGAAACATCAGTATTTCTATATCACAGTTCCCAAAAGGGCTTAAGAGATACAAAATTCTGTCTCTCTGCTGGCTTGCTTCTCTCTTGATCATTTCGCCCTGGCTTTATTAATGGTTTGCTTCATATCATCATGTCCATCTTCATAAATTTCTTTAGAACATTCATTAATCCCTCACTAGGATCTATTTGGTGTCCTAGGAAGGCTTTTCTCTCTCTTTCTATTCTTTTTCAATGAAGTCAAGTCCAGTCAGTTTCTTAACCAAAAGATTTGCTATCTTCTCTGTGAGATGCCCCTGAACATTCTCAATGGAACTTGATGGAATCCAGTTAGGTAATAAAGATTTTCACAAACGTATCATGCCTAATAGCACCAAAAAGGAAAGAATGAAAAGAAAAAGAAAAGAGAGAGGAAGAACTTTGATGTGGACAGTTATATGATCATCTATCTCTGGCTTTTTTTTTTCATGGCTGAACAGCACCAAAATACATCAATGGTGAGAATATTGTGGCCAACTCAACACTTGGCTTCTACTCCTGTACTGCCTGGACATCCTTTGCCTCTACCAACAAATCACACGATGATGAAACCAACAGATGGAAAGAGGACTCAGAAAACCCAAACTACTGGTTTGCAAGTATTTATGCCACAAAACCTTTACTGCAAAGAAAATACATTGAAAAGTGAAAATGTAAAGTTTCTCTTGTCTCAGCTGAGATTAGGTTCCAGAACCCAAGTAATTCAGATGTACACTGGTCCACCCCATATCCACTCCATGACTTCTAAAGTATAGTCCAAAGCCACTGATAATGTCCTGCTCCTTCATTTTACAGCTGTGGAAACTGATGGTCTACAATTTCTCAAAAAAGGGGAATAGAGTAGCAAAGCTGGCAATGGAGCCCACAGTTTTCTAGTGATCAATCAGGACATGCCAAGCACATAGCTGTCCTTTTGACTCACACACCAAAAAGATAAAGGATGGAAACTGTAATTGAAATTCATGTGCCTCATCTCAGGACAAACCTTGACGATGGAGGGATTGGTAAGCAGGGAAGTCTGGTAGTGACAGCTGCAGCCCCACTAATTCACAGTTGAATAAAATATGGCCTCCCTCTAAGGCTGACCAGAGAGATCCAAACAGTTTTGCTCTTTGTTGGCATGTTTTTTTCTTTTACTTCTGTACCCTTAGTCTTGTATATAAGTGTATCTGATTTGGGAAAGGAAAGGGGAAACACAGAAACAGTGGGACAATGGATGAACCAATTCAACAGTGATACTCACTAGACACTATGTTGGAAATGTACTTTACAACTTGGAGGGAGGGGTCAGGAGGAGGGAAAGTGGGAGAAAATGAGGGAAGGGTTACATTGCAAAAGGAAATGTAATCATTACCTGATTTATGTAACTGTAATCCCTCTGTACATCACCTTTGCAATCAAATTTAAATTAATGGGCTGGGATGTAGCTCAGTGGCAAAGCTCTTGCCTAACAAGTGCAATGCCCTGGGTTCGATCCCCAGTACCAAAAAAGAAAAGACAAAAAAAATTTAAGGGGCTGGAAGGTGGCTCAGTGGTTGAGTGCTTGCCTGGCATGCATGAGGCCCTGGGTTCAATTCCTCAGCACCACATAAGCAGAAAAAGCCAGAAGTGGCGCTGTGGCTGAGCTGAAGAGCTGAGAGACAGCATCCACAACCGACCAAAAAAAATTTTTTAATTAAAAAATAATTAATAAAAAAGAAATAAAACAAATTAAGCCAAAATAAAAAGGCTTGACGGTGACTGCCCAACAGATTCAAATTTATAACTACATTGCATATGCACATACACAATTCAACTTTGTCAGAAGTTTAAGCCACATTAATGAGCCTGTGGGAAAAGGAGTAAGGGAGTGAATAATCAACAAAGATGATAACAACAGTGACTTATCGATGAATTATAGTTTTATATTATCAGGTATGATCTGTGTTCTGTGCACAGAACCCCAGCTTAGATCATCTGGTTGCACTTTGAAGTAGCTGTATTTGAAAATCAAAGGTCAAGTCAAGTGCTTCCATCTTAGGCTTGGAGTATGTTGTGGATTTCAAGGTTCATATCAACATGTATAAATTACTTTTAAAATACTGTAACTTACCTCTGTTTGAGACATCAGTGACACCAAAAGAGCCCTTAAAATTAAGTTTCACACTGCCCCTAACTCGCCAGACATTTGCCCAGAAGATGGCTAGCAATCCTGTCACTCTGAAGCCTGTAAAGCCTCCCTTCTCTACATGGCATTGCCTCTTTTTAGTCCACGAAGTGTGGATTTATGGTAGCCAAAGATAAACTTGCCAATAGTTTGACAGATTGTTTTCTGGATGTATTTGTAGCATATTTCTTCAGCGTGTCTCACCTCCTCCAGCTTAAATGTGGCTCCAACATGTGGCTTGATGCGCCCTTGCTGGCAGTACTGAAGTGCAGAGGACAGGCTCTTGGAAAAGACAGTAAAGTTCTGTTGCTTGTAGCGACCCCAGTAGAGACCCATGGCACAGATGTTCTTCAGGAGCAGCAAGTTGGAGGGAATAGATGCAATGTTTCCTCCAGCAAATCCCAACACCACAATCCTGCCCTCCCATGCCAGGCTGAAGAGAAGGAAAAGAAATGGTAAAGACCAGTGGACATTTACTTCCATTAAAATGGTTACTATGTGTATATACGTATATATACATATGGAAAAGGAAGAGAAGGAAGAGCAATGAACATTTACATCTATTAAGGTGGCTATAGATGTATTTTAAAAAGGGGGGAGGAGGCTGGGAAGGTGGCTCAGTGGTAGAACGCTTGCCTTGCATGCTTGAGGCCCTGGTTCGATTCCTCAGCACCACATAAGCAAAAAGAAAAAAGCCGGAAGTGGCGCTGTGGCTCAAGTGGTAGGGCACTAGCCTTGAGCTGAAGAGCTGAGGGACAGCACCCAGGCCCAGAGCTCAGGCCCCACGACTGGACCCAAAAAAAAGGGGGGGGAGGAGGAGAAAAGTTGGTGAGGATGTAGAGAAACTGAAGTAATCCCATCTACTTAATAAGTGGAGGTAAGAAGACCTTAGTTCCATTTCCTGGTAAAAGCACAAGATCCTACCCTACAACAAACTAAAGCATAAAGGGATGAAGGTATTACTCAAATGATAAGAGTACTGAGTACTTATCTACGAAGAATGAGGCCCTGAATTCAAACCTTAGGGCTACTATGAGAGAAAAAAATAGTCCAGTTTGAAGATTTTGAACTTGAGCTGTAGAAATAAAACAAACACTAGAATTAAGGATTATTGCTCTATACGAAGTTTAAGACTCTTTCATGTCATGGTGCTTCTTGAGAACATTTTAAATAATCTACAAAAATTCACAAGTTTTCTAAGCCCATTACTGACAAACACCAAAGTACATGCTACACAGTAAATTATAAAACCTTTGTGTACATTTTTGCTAAAAGAAAATGTTTGGTTTTTGCTTTATCTGCTTTCCTTCTTCAGAAGGGAACTGAGAAGCTGTTTCAAAACATTATCCAGAAATCAAAAAGGGAAACAAGAAGGGTAAGTCTACTTGGTCTACATATTCCTTCTTTTGCTTCTTCTTTAAACACAGTACCAGGTATTTTACAGTGCTGATCAGACATGAATACAGCCTGTCTCTCAGCTCAGAGGCTTTGATTCCAACTGGATTCCTTCTGTGGGTAGGCTGCATACTCTCTCTCTCTCTCTCTCTCCTTCTGGTTTTCTCCTTTAAACTGAAACAAACTACAAAATGACACTTGTCAAGATGATACAAAAAATGAAAATAGGCAAGACATGTTTGGTAAACACCACCTCAACATTCAGAAAGCTGAGGTAGAAAGATCACCAAGTTCAAGGCCAACCTATGCTACATAGTGACTTGCACAGTTAGGGTAATATAGCGAGACCCTGTCCCAGAAATAAAAGAAGAGAAAGAGAGGAAGAGGGAAGAGAATGAGGGCAGAAAGGGATGAAGGATAAAGACATGGAGAAATAGAGAGAGAGAGAGAGAGAGAAAGGAAGAAAAGGAAAACTAATGCTCTCAGAATAGTCCAGAATCCCTGGTTGGAAACAAAATAAGAACTGGTATTGTATAATAACCACACTAAATTTTTAGCAGTGTTGTTTTTTAATACAACAAATCCTGGAAACACACTGCTGGCTGCAGAAACCAGTAAGAGCTGGACTCTAGTGGCTCACGCCTGTAATCCTAGCTACACAGGAGGCTGAGACATGAGAATCTTGGTTCGAAGCCAGCCTGGACAGAAAAGTCCTTATGAGATTCTTATCTCCAATTAACCACTCAAAAACTGGAAGTGGTGCTGTGGCTCAAGTGGTAGATTTCTAGTCTTGAGCACAAAGAGGCTCAGGGACAGTGCCCAGGCCTTGAGATCAAGCCCCACAACAGCCCGGGGGGGTGGGGGGGGTGGGCAGGTAGGAAGAGATTGAGAAGAGAGAGAAACAGCAAGATCAGGAGAGCTTATACCTCGATGCGCCATGAACTGGGGGAGGAATGATTGCCACCCTAGAAATTCTAACGTCTGAACAATGATCTCCTAAAGAATGCCCCATGAACATAAAATAGAAGGGGTTAGCATAGCTGAATTAAACACATGCATAATTTCTAAAGCACTTAACATTGCCAACTGGAAAGTCTGCAGTCATTTTTTGGATATTTTCCAGTTGGGTATTTTGTTTTTGCTATATTTAAGCATTTCCTGATTTTCTCTGCTTCTATTCCTTGTCATCCTCCTACTCAGCTATTCCTGTTGATGTCTACAGGAGAAGTGAACAGCAAAGACAAGAGAAAAGAGAGAAGCAAGCCAGAAGGAAGACAGAAGTACAGAAAAGTTCAGCAAGCCTCAGCTCCAGCCCACTCTACACAGACAATGGCACGCACCTGCGGAGAGCTTCCAGAAAGGCATCTCCTCCCACCATGTCGATGGCCACGTTCACCCCACCACTGCCCACCAGATTCTTCACTGCATCCTTCAGACTTCCCTGACTGTAGTTCACGCTGTATTGTGCACCCCTCTTCATCGCCAGCTTGCATTTCTCATCACTTCCAGCTGCAGCTATTACCTGCATAAAAAACACAAGATTTCCAATGGTTCCAAACATTATTCTAAGAGGATGCACCCAGTCTCCCTAGACTCCAGCCAACATCAATGAAACCAATAGCTAAGATCATTCAAGAGATACTCTGAAAGTTTTCTTCAACTGAAAATAAAACCCACCATTTACTAAGTACCACCATGAATCAACTACTTAACATACAAGCTGGCTAGCAACCTAGAAGTCAAAAAAAAGCAACATATAGCAGTATGATGGGGGAAGGACCTAAGTTCGAACAAGAGCTATCCAATCTCCATCCATAAAGTCAGGGAAAGCTTCCCAGACCATAAAACCTAACACAGTAGAAAGAGCTTGAGGTCAGAGAGATCATGGTTCAAATCCTACCTCTGCCACTTACCCAGCTATGTTATCATAGACAAATTACTTAGCAATAATTAACATAATATGTCATTATTTTACATACATTAATGGCTCATTTAGTCATAATAGATCAATAGAATATGTTCTATTATTGCTCCTGTGTTATAGATAAAGAAATTAATATAAAATAAGCTAAGTAAGGTGTCCAAGGAAGTTCACAGAGTTAACAGGAAACAGGGCTAAGATTCAAACCCAGTTAATCCATCTCTAGAGTTCATGCATTTGCCTTGTACTTCCTGGTAACACTTCCAGGTCTGGTTGGTAAAATACACTTATTTTAAAAATTAAATGAGCCAGGCACTAGTGACTCATGCCTATAATCCTAGGAGGCTGAGATCTGAAGATCATGGTTCCAAGCAGCCAAGCAGGAAAGTCTGTGAGACTCTTACCTCGAATTAACCACCAGAAAGCCAGATATGGAGCAGTGGCTCAACAAGGGGTAGAGTACCACCTTTGAAAAAGCTGAAGGAGAGCTCCCAGGACTCAAGTTCTAGGCCCAGTACAGGCATAAATAAATCAATAAATCACTCTACTTACAGCATTTGAGAAACAAAGAATAAAATAAATTAGTGTCCTATACATGTAAGCATTTCTTCCATTTAAACTTCAGAAGGACATTTTCAGAAAGGGTTGATTATTTCCAAACCACAGAGAGAGGCAGAGGCATAAATTCAGATACTTATCAACCCAAGGTCATCCAGGTAGCAGGAAAAACAATTAATTCAAAGCCAACACTGCCTTACTCCAAAGTCTATCCTTTTTATCTCAACATCCAAGAAGAAAACAGTGCCTAAGGTCCCATACAGATGGCAGAGCTGGCTGCCGGCCACTCACAGAGAGATAGAGGGTTTGGAAATCTGCACAAAAGATGCAGACCCTTCAGCATCATTCAAAGGCGCCTCATTAGTGAGCAACCCTATCACCCAAACATTTTGTCCCAAGTGATGCTCAGAACCCCACTCACTCCAAGAACATCATTATCCTTAAAGGATTCTAAACTCACTGGCAATTGTTTGAAACTGAAAGCTCCTCTTCAATGCCCCTCAAAATAGTCCAGCTCACTGACGGCTATTCACACACACAGGACCACAGTGGAAAGACACTAGATGAGGGTCGGGCCCCTGACTGCATCCCAAGTTCTCACTATGTCTCAGTGAGACCTTCGGCGAGTCAGAATTCTCTTGGTGCCTGGCTGTCTTGATCTGTGAAACAGGGAAATAAACACTTACATTTCCCCTCTCCCAGGGGCTGTGGGAAGGTCCAGTGTAAGATAATTACTTCGGAAGCAGCTTGAAAAACTGAGGATAGAAGGTGTGATCAAAATGACCTATTCTGAGTAGGTGACAAGATATCACATTTACTTCTGTTTAAAACCATTTTTCCTGGGAAAGAAATGTTCTCGATGCGTGCATATAGAATAATATCATGTCATTCATTTGGGTCAATTTTAATACCCAAATTGAAATGACTTTTCCATTTCACTTCTGAGAGAACTTCTTGAAAGAAATGGTACCATTTACCTTTCTAGAAATGTTAGTCAGTGGATCTAGACAAGGGAAATTCTGATCCCTCCCCTCCAAGAGGAGCTAAAATCCATTTCACTTCACATGAAATGTGTTAATGTTCCACGAGAAGCCTCCTAGAGCCGAAGATTCCCTGTGGAACTTTCATGCCCTTCCCAAAAGAAGTCAGAAATGAAAAAGGAACAATAACTCCCCACAGAAAATTCCAAGACAATTCAAGTATCTTCAACCCTGTGTGTACATGCACTTGCCATCTCAATCTGAGTCGCTTGCTTTACAGAAACCCTGCACTTGACTGATCTCACCAGCCCCAAAACTAAACTCTCCATTTCCTCCTGTGCGCTCAGTCTCAATAAGTGGCAATTCCAGAAGTTAACCTAGTTTGCTCCCTCCCACTCGCTGTCTAATAATAACAGGATTCGCTCTTTAAGAGATTCTTACTGACATGCCACACCTTGTAATAGGCACACTGCACATGTAATCTCAACACTGCCCAACAACTCTATAAAGAAAGCAGCATTTTACAAATGAGGAAAGTTATTAAACTAGAAGTAGAGCTGGAATGAACACCTTTGTCAGGCTACCTTTAGAGTCTTTGTTTCTCTGACCAGCCAGATGTTCTATGGTCAGTAAATTTTCTATTTTTTTTCCACTTCAGTCGGACTTTGACTTCCTTGATTCAGGCAATCTAACATCTGGCTTGCACAACAAAAGCCACCACCATTATTCTCTCTCTCTCTCTCTCTCTCTCTCTCTCTCTCCCTCCCTCCCTCCCTATCTCTCTCCTTTTTTCTTCTTCCTTTTCCTCTTTTTTCTTCTCCTTCCTCTTAACTCGTCTCCTCCTTCTTCTCATCCCTCTCTTTCTTTCTCTCTCTCTACTCTCTCCCTCTCTCTTTGCCTTTGCCCCTATCCCTCATCTCCACAAGCTACCAGAGTAATTTCCTTTTAGTGTAACGATGATGCCAGGCATTTGTGATCTTAGCACTTAGGAGGCTGAAGCAGGAGGATCCAGAGTTCAAAACCAGCATAGACTACATGGTAGGACCTTGCCTCAAAAAAGCAAGGATAAGCATGCCAGCCAGGCACTGGTGGCTCACACTTGTAATCCTAACTTCTCCAGAGACTGAGATCTGAGGATCATGGTTCAAAGCTGGCCATGGCAGGAAAGCCCATGAGACTTTTATCTCCAATTAACCACCAGAAAACTGAAAGTAGCGCTGTGGCTCCATGTGGTAGAATCCCAGCTTTGAGCAAAAAAAAAAAAAAAAAAAGCCCAGGGACAGCGCCCAGGCCCTGAGTTCAAACTCCACAACTGACAAGAAAAAAAAAGATGATCATGTCATGTACTTTTTTAAAATTCTTAAGAGCCCCCATGAGTCTGCAATAAGCATTCCAATTTCACAGCTACGAGACAGACCCTCATGATCTTGTCTCTTCTTACATCACTAATGCACCACTCATCATCCCCTGAATCAAGTCTGTGTACAAGAGATGCCATTTGCAATTCCCTGGATGCATGATGTCTTCTCACCACGAAAATGCCCTTTCACCTTCCATCGCCATCACTGCCATCTATTCAACTACCAGTCCCTCAGGAGACATGGTAAATGTCTCCCTTCTCTCTGACACCTACAGCCTCAGACTTGATTTATTCACCTGTTCGTACATTCATTCATTAGTTCTTTCATTCAAAAAACAGTTCTTGAGTGCCCACCATATTCCAGGTACCATGCTAGGTGCCAGGCCTACAGTGATGAACGACACAGACTTCTTCCTGCCTTCATAGTGACTACAGTCCAGTTGGAGGGAGATATTAATGACACAATTGAAATTAAATGTTAATGACACAATTGAAAGAGGCACCACACAGTGAGGTATGCACTAAGAAAGGAAATACAGGGTGTTGTGACATCATATATAAATAGTGGGAGAAGAGACTGGCCTAGCCCAAGGACAGAGAATATACCTCTAAAAGAGTCACATCTGAGTTTAACTCTGAGTTGCAGAGGGAGACTAACATTTAAAAGGCCCAAAGTGAGGCAGCCCTTTCCAGATTCTAGTAACTGAAGTGGTAAGTGATATCTTGTTAGGTCTCCTCCTACTCGATAAACACATGGCAAGGCCCTCATCTGTGTGTGTGTGTGTGTGTGTGTGTGTGTGTACGTGTGTGTGTTGGTCCCAAGGTTTGAACTCAGGGTCTGGGCATTGTCCCTGAGCATTTTTTTTTGCACAAATCTAGTGCTCTACCATTTGAGCCAAGGTTTCCCCTCTAGCTTTTTGGTGGTTAATTGGAGATGAGAATCTCATGGACTTTAATACCTGGGCTGGCTTCAAACCACGATTCTCAGATCTCAGCCTCCTGAGTAGCTAAGATTACAGACGTGACCCACCAGCGCCCAACCCAGCACACAATTTTTAATAAATGAATAGATAGATTCCATGTCTGAAAACTAGAGGTGTTTTTCTAATAGAGACTCTAACATGCAAATACCTTGGCCTGAAGCACATTTGTTGCCACATCAATCACTGCGAGTCCTGTGGCTCCAGCTGCTGCCGTCACTAACACAGTTTCTCTGTGCCAGAGAAGGATAAATGTTACTGTGGAAACCTTCAAACTCCATCCAAAAACATGACTTCAGGAACATGTTAAAACTAGACCAGGTAGAGCAAGAATGTTACAGATCATTTCATTCAAACCCTTCATAAACATCTACCACCAGCCTTTAGAGATGGAAGATTTATGTAGCTTCTGGGTCAGTGCTAATTTGGTCCAGTTTTGAAGATGTCCTGGGACAAAATCCCTTGATCTCTCCAGGCAGTCTCTCCTTCCCGGCAATGGCCTTTGCACAACCATCCAATTTACACTTCAGAAAACTTGTCCTAAAATGGTTTTCATAAATACTGCCTGACTTTAGAAGGCAATAGTCACAGAATGATTACTGTTCAATTAATCCCAATAGTTGGGAGCAATTCTGAGAGTTAGCTTTCTGAAAAGATCAAGAGGCATTTTCCCAGGTAAAAGGGGAAGCTTCGCCATTATTGAGTTGGAAATGCCCTACTTGGCACACCCGACCACATCTCACAGAAACAAATACCACAGGCCTCCATGAAACTAACATGAAGGAGTTTAAATAAGACAGCTCTGAGCTAGGCATGGTGGTACACTCTTGTAATCCTTCATTCGGGAGGCTGAGACAGGAAAATCATGAGTTCAACGTCCGTCTGGGCGACATAGTGAATTTCAAACCAACATGAGGTACATACAAAGATCCCATCAAAAATAAAGAAGAATAAATCAACTCCCTAAACTTTTAAGATTTTCCTATGGAACGATCCTTAATGTGGTTAGGTTTGAGAGAACCATTTTTCCAAAGTCATTTTGACCAAATTCCCAGTGTCCTAATCCCAATCAAAAGGCTGCCCCTATCATCTGCACACCCCAGTCTCAGTGATTGCATCCCTTTTTGCCTTTCCTCAACCAAAATGAACATGACCTGATGAAAAATGGAAGGGAAAGGTAAAAGCAAAGGTGAAGAGAAGGCAAAGAGAAGGGAAAGCCTTATAGGGACACCTGTACCTTCTAGCACTCTATCATCTACAGAGTCCTTACCCAGGCTGTGTACAGGCCCGATGGTCTAGAGCCAAAATTGCAGTGCCATAAGATACAGGTAGGACAGCAGCCTCTTGTAGCGAGACCTTTTCTGGAACCTGCCATAGGCTCTGTGGGAGACATAACAGTGAGTTAGAGATTAAGCATACATACCTAGAGACAGCAGCTGCTGGTTTGATTGAATGACTAATTGGAAATGAGAAAATACATGCCTGCAACCAAGTCCAGCGGAAATTCAAGCCGAAGCAAGCCATGGTAGAGGACTTGGGTATCTGTCCAACTTCAAGATTCTAAGACTGGAATCTGGCTTCAAAAAGAAGCCAAATTATTATGGGAAACTATGGCCAGCACGGATGAACTCTTAACCTCAGTAAAGCTGGGGTGTGGGGCAGTCCATGTAATGGATACCACCAGGGGGCACCATTCACATCCTGCTCAATCATAGCCACCTTGGCTGGCTACATTCCCAAAGCTATGAATTTCAAAAGCTATGAGTGTGGGGACAAGTCCATTATGTTCAGCTCAATTTTCCAAACCAGTTTTTCTACCAAAACAACCTAAGTTCCAGCTGGACATCTAGCCAGTTGCTCAAGCACTAATAATAATAATAATAATAAAAGCCCCTTTGCACTGAAACACTCCACACAAATGAAACTCCATGCCTGGATAGTTACACCAAGAAGAGAGGAGATTGGCATTTGAAAAAACGAAACAACACTGCTTGACTGAGAAGCAAGATACCACCAAAACAACTGTAAAAAACAAAAGTGGGAAGAGTAGAGTGGATGAGGAACAAGGGAGGGGTGGAAATTAAAGAAAACAAAAGGGAAAAAAGATTTTAATGTTGAGACATAGGAATACCTTCTGGTCAGTGATGCATTCTTCAGCCATAGCATTTAAGCCAGTCACACCAATAACTCGATCTCCCTAAAGGGAAAGTAGCATTAAGAATATTCAAATGTATGCCCCCTTACATTTTATCACCTCCTCCTGAAATAATCAAAGAATGAAAGAAAAAAAATATACCTCTGACTCCATAAGACACAGATTAACCCTAATACATATTCAGAGTTAACATTCATCAAATAAAACAGCTGGTTACCAAACCTATGTGAGCAGATTTTAGACAACAGGGAGGGAAAGGAAGGAAAAAGTTGCCATGAATTAGAATTCCAGTACTAGCTTCTTTCATTTAAGACTCAAACTTGAGAATCCTTGATCCTCTCAGTCACTCGAAGACTGAGTTGCTACTTTTTCTTCATAATAAAGAGTTTAAGGAAACTAGAAGCCCAAGAGATTTCTTCCCCCAATTCAGAATCTGTTTCTTACCCTCCTACCTCAATTTCCCTTTGTTGTCTGCTGGAAAAGCTCAGAGCAGCAAGACTTTGAAGGTACACACGAGGTTAACACATTTCTCATAGTCCCCACACATTGGTTACCTCTTTCACTGTGCTGACATCTGTTCCTGTCTCCAGTACTGTCCCAGAAAACTCCATTCCTAGAACATTTAAAGATGAGGTTATCTTAAAGTCAGTACATGGAGATATGTAAACCCAAATCCATAGGCCAGCTCACCAGTTTGTTTAAGTTGAGGGATAAAGTATTGCTCCTCAAACAGAAGAGTGAGCGTAAGATTTCATGCTCACACCCGAAAAAGCTATGGAAGTACCATTCTTAACCTTGACCCAAATGATCATTTCAAGAAGGTACACAAGCACAAAGAAGCACAAATGTACAGGTACTCTGACCCTGATCACCAGGGCCTTGGGACCCCAATGTCATGCTCCTCAAACTGTATTTATCTGTTTCTATGTATCCTGTGCTGAGCTATGAGGCCTCAAGTCCATGAACTGTGTTTATTCAGCTAGTTCTCAGTTCAACTGGGTAAATTAATGTTCTCTGAACTTCCTTCTTATATCTCTGAAATTCCTAGATTTCATGTTCACACAATTCCTACTTAAGGTGACAGGGAAATAACTCAATTGTGTGAAATCTTCCTCACTATGCAACATTGTAGCAAATACAAACAGAAAGAAATCATTCAACTCTTAAGACACAACCAAAGTAGAACATGGTGGTATTGGAATTTCACCATGAGTCCAGGCTCAGGATTAAATACTCTGGAGGTAGAGGTAAGATCATAGTGTCTGGTCAGCCCTAGGCAAAACTGTAAGACCCTATGTGAACAACAAACTAAAAGCAAATAGTGCTAGGGTATGGATCAAGTGTAGGTTACCTGTGCCTCCCTAGCAAGCTTGATACCTTGAGCTCAAACCCCAGTATGGCCAAAAAAAAGACAAAAAATATTCTAAGGCCAAAATATAGCAACTATGTGGCAATTAGTATGTCTCTAATAATATATTCACATAAAATATACATGTAGCTGGATGCTAGTAGCTGAATAGCCTTGCTATTCAGAAGGCTGAGATCTGGGGATAATTGAAAGCCAGGCTAGGCAAGAAAGTCCATGAAACCCTGACCTCCAATTAACCACCAAAAAGCCTGAAATGGAGCTGTGGCTCCAAGTGGTCAAGTGCTAGCCTTGAGCACAAAAGCTCAAGGACCATGCACTGGCCCTGAGTTTAAGGCCCAGGACTGGCAAAATAAGTAAATAAATGGAATGAAATGAAATATGCATGTACTGTGAACATCCTAAGCTCTTCTTACATCACTTTAAGAAAAAGACTTCCTCAACAAGTTATTTGCCTATATATTCAGGATCTAAAAGTAATCATATTGGGTAAAATGAAAATCAGACCGAGAACTGCTAAAAAAAAATGAAAACACTCTTTTTTTTCTTTTGGATACTCTGGCATTAGATTTCTTTGGGCACATGCTATGAGGCTGAAAGTCTTACCAGCAAATAGATTTTTATGATCCTTCAAAGAAAAAACAAAACTGAGGCAATATTAAAGAAAGAATAGGAATGACTAGGGACCGTTAATGATTCAGGATTATGGTTCAAGGGCAGCCTGGAAAAAATTAGCATCCCCTATCTCAACAAAACAAGCTAGGTATGGTAGTGCACATCAGAAATACCAGCAACTCAGGAGGTAAAACAAGGAAGATTGCAGTCTGAGGCTGGTGCAGGCAAAAACCTGAGACCTTGTCCAAAAGACAATCTAAAAGCAAAAGGACTATATTGTGGTTCAACTGGTAGAGCACTGGGTATGGCTCAAGTGAGAGAGCACTGGGTGTTACTTGAGTGGGAGAGTTGGTAGGGTATTTGTCTAGCAAGCACAAGATCCTGAGTTAGATCAAAAATGATTCTGATGAACACAATTCTAGTGAACACCTGAGGTATGAACATTTGTTATTTGTATAACTTTCTTCAAGGATTCATAATCTAGTGATCCTAACTAACAATGATGCTGAAATATCTCACAGATATCTCACTGATGGCAAGACAAAACCCACCAGAGCGTTGTCTGGAAGGGTGGTATGGCACTTCTGAAAACGTGCAAGATCTTTTCCTGAAACAGTCCTTCATTTCCCCCTACTCACCAGGTGTGAAAGGAAGATGGGCCATTTCCTGATACTGACCACGGCAGGCCAAAATATCAGCAAAGTTGACTCCACAGAAATGGACATCAACTCTGACCTGTAAAGAAAACAGAGCAGCAGAACAGAACAGGATGTACACTAAAGACAAAGCTCACTCAATTATTCAAAAAGATTGAATCAATGAATGAATGAATGACAACTAAATACCAGGCACCGGAAAGATCCAGCATGCCATCAGGAGGCAAAATGGACACAATTTCTTTGTGAAGCTAAAAATAGAGTTGGAAGACAGATATTATCCAAATGATAATGAAACCATATGTATTAAATTATAACTAAAACTACATTTTAATAATAGGAATGGAGGGGCTAAAAAAAGCACATAAATGGGGTTATGTGACCATTGGGGAAGTCAAGAAAAACTAAGAAAGTAACATTTGAGTAACAGCTTAGAGTTAACAATAGAAAATAGGACTGGAGGAAAAAACTGACACAGACAAAAAACAATGGTGTGTGCATGTGGGCAAAAGAAAATAAAAACCAGGGAGCCTAGAACACAGAGAAGAAAGAGAAGGGGGACAGGGCAGAAGTCAAGGGCCCACATCATGTAAAGACTTGTAGGTCTACATTGAGGATCTTCACCTTTATACTAGGAGCAATGGGAAGCTAGAAAGGGATTCTAAACAGAAGGATAACATAATCAAGCTGGTTTGGGAATCTGGAATCCTGGAGGCAAGCCTAGATCTCCAGCTTCTATGCTCAGGACAAAGGCATCATGAGGTACAACTATAGCAGCAGAAGGAAGACCAGTAGTTTCTCTACATCTTGCAAAGCCAGTGAGTGAGTGTCAGAAGACGGCCCAAGACTACCAGAATCAGATCACCTGGGACCTGTTAGAAATTCCAATTCTTGTGCCTCACAAATCAGACACTCAGGGCAAAAACAAATTAATCTGCTTAACCATCTCATGTGATCATGATGCACTTCAGAAAACCACTGGACTAGATGACATCTCAGCAGGGACTGGAGTCCCAGAAGAAAGTGTCATGATGGCTGGGACATGAAATTGACAATGTTTGTCAATTTATTTCAGAAATGGCCATCTTGTCAAGAATGCTTTTTTTTTTAATCTACAAAATTCATTGATTTTGTGATTTTTTTAAAGCCTCTGCCTCATGCCAAGTCTCATTTTAAACCACAGGATTTAATGGTGAATAAAAATAACCTAATTGCAGCTCTCATGAGCTAATTCCTTACAATGCAATATCTGGACAAATAAGAGAAACAAGGAGCCCAGCCTTAGCTAATGCATGCTGGATAAATGTCACATTCATTATTCAGACCTACAGCACACTCCACCTGGATTTAGAATGACTCAGCCCAGAGGTCTCACACATCTATCATCTCGGCATTCAGAAGGCTGAGACAAGAAGAGAGAGAGAGTTCAAGGCTGGCTTCAGCTACATAGGAACAGATCGTATCTCAAAAAAAACACCAAGGAGAAGAGGGGAGACAAAGGCATGCGCTTTCCCAGCATGTGAATCCTAAGAAGCAGACTTCCCGCTTGTGTTCATACAAATAATCCTTTTGAGTGACCGGATGGGGCTCCCGGCATGAGCCTCGCTGTGTGCTCCACGCAGTGGAAGGTTCTCGTTCTGCACACCAGGTGACACTGTGTCACCAGACCGGTCAGCAGGCCAGGCCAACGTGACTGACTCATTTCCGTGAAACTAAGCTAGTGCCAGCCCACAGCATCGCAGGGCACAGGGCATGTGTTCACAGGGATTTCAGGCTGCTTTGGGGCAGATAACTTGACCTTGACACTGAAGAGGAACGAAGCAAAAGTAAGGATCCGTTTGTGGGTGTGAAATCAACAATTTGCAGGCAGTTATGCAAAGCCCTGTGTACATCGGAATTCTCTTGTTTCTAAGGCAACAGCCCCCGGAGCCTTCCGGGGAGAGCGTCCTAGCCATGTGTTTGGGGGGCACTCTTCCCTAAGCACCTGTGACCCCCACTCTGTGAACTTGGAGTGACTCTGACCTGGCAGCTCAGGACCAACTTGGGCCCCCCTAGCTTGGGAACGGGGACGTGATTCAGGCGGGAAGCCTGCGGTGGTGGAGATGACTCGTGTGTGGAGGGATCCCCACGACTGGGGCCAGGCACCCTACCTCGTGAGGCTGGACAGGGCGGGGGGCCACTTCTTCAATGGCCAGGGGCCGCTTCAGCTCGGTGCAAAGCGCGGCTCGGTAGTGCCGACCGTGGCCCTGCCCGGGTCTCCTGTAACAGGGAACGAGAGAGAACTTACTGGGGCTGGGGCGCAAGGTGCGTCCCGGGGCTGCCCAGTGGGCCTCCGGGGAGCCCCGGGACTGCACCTGCGGAGCCACACCCAGGGAAGGCACCGTCGGCCGGCCAGCGCCGCCATGGCTGCGGGAGCGAGCCGCAGGCCCGCGGGCACAGCGTGGCAGGAAGGGCCGGACAGCGCCGGCCCCGCCCCGAGGAGAGCGGAAAGGCGTCCCGGGGACGCGCCCCGACCCCGGCCCCGCCGAGGCCGGCAGTCTGCGCCCAGCCAGGGGCAGCTGCTTTGGCAACACTCCTGGCTTCCCTGGCTCAGTCCTGGAAGGTCGGATCCGCTTGGCTCCCAGGCCTCCCTGGAAGGGAAAAACCAAAGCCCGAGTGAAAGGATTTCCATTGCGCGAAGGTTCTTCTCCGTGGTCATTTTGAAGAGACAAAAAAAAAAGTCCTCAATGCGTAGATAAATCTTTTGATGTTCCATTCTTGTTACCAATTCTTGTTCAATTTCTCACTTTTCTTACACAGGCTCAATAACAAAAAAAATACTGAATAGTTACCAGTGATCTTATGTTCAGTGATCCTACACAAATCCAGAGTACTTCTAATTAAAGTCAGGCCACAGTCTTGTGTTTTTTATAACTCCAAACACCTATATTAGAGACACCACTTAGTAGATTCTCAATAAATGATCCGATGGCCACCTACTTCCCAAGTGAGCAGGCACATTCAGGAAGGACCAAAAATATAAGACTGGGTAGACTCTGTTAACAACAGTAAACAAATATTTATGAAAGCTGTTTGCCATGCTGGAAAAAAATATGTCTCTGCCCTGGTAGACATGGGGTCAAAGAGTTTAGGTCTTTAAACTGAACTGGAGGTGTGGCTTAATGGAAGTATGCCTAATTAGCTTGAAGCCCTGAGTTCAAACCCAAGTACCTCAAAAAAATTATATACATGCATGTGTGTAGTGTGTGTGTGTGTGTGTGTGTGTGTGTGTGTGTGTGAGAGGTTCAATTCTAACCCTGCCAGTTATTGGTATGGTTTTAACAGTTGCACTTAGTAGTTCTTGTTCTCAATGAACTCTTCCACAAAAGAAGGCATTGAGCAAACATGGTCAACAAAGTAAAACAGGAAGAATGGGGACCAAACAAGAAGTAGGAATGAACTATGAAGATTATGGCCTAGAGAATTTGGTGGGCAAGAAATCTAAGAAGAAATACCCATGTTGGGTATTAAATATAGGTCACTTATAATAGCACTTATAGGAAATCTGAGAAGTCATTTTAGCCTCTGCCCATACACAAACACCAGGAGAAAAGGGAACAGTGACTAAAAGGTAAGAAGATGAAAAATGCTTGTGCTTCCAATAAGATATGCGAGCATTTTGTAAAGTGTTAATTATTAAGTACATAAAACCAAAGGTTGAATATGTACATCAATGGTGGAACATTTGCCTAACATGTATAAAGCCATGAGTTTCATCCCCATTACTGAAAAAAAGATCTGATTACAGCCAGGTGCCACTGGCTCATGCCTATAATCCTCGCCACTCAGGAGGCTGAGATCTGAGGATCACAGTTCAAAGCCAGCAATGGCAGAAAAGTCCATAGGACTCTTTTCTCCAATTAACCATTGAAGAGCTAAAAGCAGAGATGCCTCAAGTGGTATAGTGTCAGAGTGCCATGCCCAAGCCCTGCATTCAAGCCCCAGTGTGCACCAGTAGCACACATGCACACACGCATGCGCCTCACATAAACACATCACACACACACACACACACAAATCTGGTTGCCAAACAACAGTGAGGAATAAGAAATCTAAAATTTATGAAGCTCCAATCCAGTATTGATTGATCTGAGTAGGAAATGAATTGTTATATGTGCAAAGTGTTTTGTAAAATATTTAGCTATATTAATGTCAGAAGATATTACTATAAGCAAGCAATAAAGCAATCAACTTTTAATTGAGCTGCTTGAAAGCAGCAACCATTTCTTAATCTTTATGTTTACAGTATTTGTTTAATGCCTGATACTTGTAGGCATTTAGCAGGTATACCTAATGAAATGTTGAATGAGCACTCAGGTATCTAGTATTAATTTTCCAGCGGATTAGAAGTATTATGTCTTGTATTTTTAATGAAATGCTTTTATGGGATAATTTTCTATTACAGTTTTCATAATATACTTGTCATTCTCAGGGACTATGGTGTACAAATCTATCAATACCTCATTGTACATCTTTGAAAAGTTCTGAAGAAAATAGCAAAACTACCCGTAAGAAGCATCTTGAAGGTAAATGAGGGTATTTTAGATAATTGAGGTGATTTAAGCATTTACATGTAAAATAACTTTCACATTTCCCAGGAGCAGTCAGAGGTGACAGGGCCTTTAATAGTAGTTGCTATGGTAGCAAATGAAATGTTTAAGCCTATCCATCAACATTCTGCCACCACACCTTACTGTCTACCTTTGGTTATTGTTTCTGGTTATTCTATTTGAGAGTGAAATGAAAAGAGGGAACAGGAAGAATAAAGTTTGAGTCTTGGGAGAGATTATGATCATGCAGTAACAGAGGACTGAACTGATCAGTCCTCTGGAAAGAAAAAAAAAAGATTAATAATTGCCCTACAGACCAGCTTGAAGTCTCATTAAGGAAGTAAAAGAGTAACAGATGACTCTTCCTTCTGGTACAGTGTGCATGAAGAGATAATATTTAACATCCAGAATCTGCTGGAGGGCTGAGGGTGGAGAATCAAGCCAAAACTGAGTACACAACAGCTCTGTTTTCATAGAATAATAGATAAACAATATATAAACAATATAAGCTAATAAAAATGTAAGTCCATATAGAACTAGGCTTAGAATGTGCAACTAACTATTCTCCATCGTGAAGATGTGCTATCCTGTTGATTCTTAGCTCACTGAGAAGAAAGCGAGCTGTCTCAGTAACTTCCAGGTTTACTGCCATATCTAGTACATTGGCAGGTACTTTAGGAAGGTTGGAAATAAGGAACCCTATAATCTCTGTGGGAAGGCTGTCAGCAGGACATCACTATCCAAAGCCACAAATCCAAAACATTTTAAGGGTCTTTGCACCCACTTACTCCTCTATGTTTACAAACCCTTATGCACAACCTGTTCACATTTTTGGTACAGTTCAGCACAGCCATTATAGTTACAAAGTATTATCTTCTGCCACAGTGATGTTTTCCAAAACTTTGGAGGTGGTAATATAGTTGGCCTTTTCCATGCACTTCCCTGGACTGCTCTTACTTGTTATTTGGGATTGAGATTAATTGCTGGGTTTTTTTTGTAATCACCCTTAGACATGTGTTTTAAACTCGGATCAATGTAATTCATAACAACCATCCTGATTTCAAGATGGGTATAAGATTTGTTATGTAAGTTATTTGCTCCAGTACTCATGGAATCATAGGATTTCTGAGCTGGGATGGATCTTCAATATAATCCGATCTAACCATTTATAAGAAGCAAAGGCAAGAAGCCAGGTATAACCAGATAGACTTGCTCAATGTCACACTACTACATGGTGTTAAGAGAAGCAGGATCTTATTTTCCCGATTCTCTTTCTGATACTTTTCTGCTCATTAGCTTTCCCTTCTTATTATTACACAATAAGAATAAGAAAAATGTTTTGTCTTTTCATAGTGCTTCATGGTTTAAATCACCATCAAGTTGTTTTGTCCTGTTCATAGTAAGAGTAATAATTATTAATATTACAAATAGCACTTGTTGGCTACTTATTTTTTTAAAAAAAATTTTTAAATTTGCCAAGTGCTTTTGCACGACTTTATATTAACTCTCCCAATGGTCCTATGCACTTTTCTTTTCACTATTTTATAGATCAGGAATGTAGGCTGAAGGAACTTAGGTAACTTGCCCAAAGCCACACAGCCACGCAATGGAGCCATTGAGCATCATCCTAATTGCCTGATGCCAGAGCCCCCTCCAACAGGCTCTGACCGCCCACTGTGCTTCCCTCACAAATGTCCTGGGAGCAGACAAAGAAGCTATTATGTAACATTCTTTAAAGCCATGCTTTGCTTGTAGTTTTAAGCTTAATTTTATAGGAATTTTACAGTCACTCAGGCCTAGAAAATAGATTAATTCCCTGAAAGGGAGAATCTAAAGCCTCCCAGGGATACCTGCAGTAAAGGGACAAAAGCAGAAAGAGATGCTAACACATAATTAGGGGCTACTACCTTATTCCATATAGCCATGAGGTGAAGTGCATTGATTTCATTTAAATTCAAAGTATATTGTATAAGATTAAAACTGTGATTATGTAAAGCAGTCACATTCACAATATGATTTTAATGAAACCATGTTCTGACTTGGTTGCCTGGTTACCAGTCGTTACTTAAGCAGGTACCAGCAGGCATTTGGGCTAAATTTCTGGCACCCAGATGGAGCAGTTTGGAAGCAGCAGTAACCTGGGCCATGGCTTCAGCAGCATCCAGGAGTAACCACCAGTATTTGATGCAGAAAACTATTTTCCACTTTGAACCATCCTTACAGAGCCAGTTAATAAATTCCCAAAAATTTCTGGCAATATTATGATGTCTTTCCAGCTCCCACCTCCCCCAGAGAGAACAAATTTTTCCCTTCCATATGTTCCCCCCACGACGGACTTTGTATAAACCTGTATTAGCTCACTGGTCTAATTTCAGGTAGCATCCTCTCTTTATCCCCACAGCAAAACCATGAGCTCACAGGTGATTTTGAGAACTGCTTAGTGAAGAGAAAGGAATTTGGGCTTTGGAGCCAGGTGGGCCTACACATTCAATTCCTAGCTTATCTCCACACTCATTGTGATCCTGGGGAAGTTATTAGACTTCTCTGAACCTCCATTTCTTCATCTGTAAAACAGGTCTAGGAATTCCCACCTGGGGGTAAAGCAAGTCCCTGGCAGCACTCGGTAAATAGCAGCAGTTATTGAAAAGACAGTCACTGCCCTTGAGCCTCGTGCTGTCTAGTGCAGCAAGGCTCACATGAATGGGCATCTAAATGCTTGCGATTTGGTTGGTGATGGAGGGCTGCAAAGCAGCCTGTGGGAGCTCAGAGGAAGGAGCATCATTTCGAGAGGACCTCACAAAAGTATTAAGGAAAATGAGCCCGCCAGAGGGCATATA